ATGATTCAAATGTGAAAGTCTACATATCTCAGCGTTAGAATGTAAAAAATAAAAAGCTGGAATAATATTGTTGCATTATTTGGCAGTTCTTTAGGCAAAAAAATTTGATCCGTTTGCTTTATTCAAGCTTTTGTCTGCTGTCCCAGGGGATTTTTTTTACATGAACTCACCTGCAATTACATGTTTGAGCTAAAGCCAGGTTTGGCAAGGAGTGGAAATTATCTCATTTAACAAAGGTATCAGACAGGAGGACACAAATAAATGTTTTCAAATGTTTTAGAAAAAATTTACTGAGATCCCTGTCTTTTGGATAAAAAATATCTGATGTTCTAACTGGAGACAAAGAATTGTTTGAGCCAATGGATATGATGTTTCTAAAATAAATGATCCAGGGAAAACGTCTTACTAATAGTTCCACATGTGAAGCTTTTAGACATTCTGTTTGCATCCTAAGCATGAATTCAAAATCCTTCCTTTTATAACAATAAACTCTCTATTGCCAAAAAAAAAAAAAAAAAAAAAACTGTGAGAAAGGAATTGCATCCTCCTGTGTAATGCTGCAAGAACACTTTTCTATCGCTGTGGAGGAGATTTGGGCCCCTCTTTTTACAGATTTCTTTAAATCTAACTAGACTGAATCTGTTTGTTTTTTTTCCTCGTTTAAGTGAGGCTTTATAACGGGTTTTGTAACCCTTCCCATATTATCCAGATGATCCTGACTTGTTGAATTTGTTTAAATAGAAGCGTAATGGTTTGTGTTTTTATATCTTGGAGACGAGTTTGTGATGTCTGACAGGTTTCTGCAGGTCCATCAAGAAGCAGGGTTGGGTTCGGCTTAACAAATTAAAATTTGCTTTCCAAAAATGTGGTTAATAAGAGCAGATTCAAATTTGAACAAGAACGGCTGTTATCTTTTCACAAAGGCTCAAATAACTTCTGATGCTCTTTCTTCTACATATATCAAGTCAAGAAAAAAAACAGTTTTGCTCTATTTTCTAAAGCTATCTTTGTCTAATAGTGGGATTGTTTGATGATTTGAAACATTTTAACATGACAAAAATGCAGAAAACAAGACATCGGTAAAAGGGCAAATACTTGTAACGTTTTCTATTATTTCTAGAAATAATGGTTTTCTATTTTTATTAACGATTTAGATAATCAGATCTCTGTTTATTAAGGCATTCTTTACACTATTTTTGCTTTTTAATGGGTTAGCCAGCAGTTCCTCTTGAAATAATGCTCATCAGCTGTTGAGCCAGCAGACTTGAATATTAGCAATCTGTCTGTCTAATGACCCAGTTTGTCTGAAGTTCTCTGATTCTCTCAGTGGGGGGTTTGTCTAGCGTCATCCTTCTTCTGCCACACTCCAGCAGGGTGCCATTAAGTCCCCTCTTTTCACACAAATAACTTCAAGAAACGTTTTTGCATGTTTTCTTTTAACTGAAAGAGTCCTACCTGCCCACCAATCACCTCCCTGCTCAAGCCTATCAGCACAGATCTGCACTCTCACCTCAGACAATCAAATCCAAGGATGCCCCCACTTTCCCTTTCAGCCTCCATACCATACCAGGTTCAGGTTTTGGAGGAGAAGACGTCTCTAACCTATGTTTACCCCGAGGGCAAGTTTACCTGTCCTGCAAGTTTGAGATATTTCCCTGCTTCAGCACAGCTGATTTTCATTGATAGCTGATAAACAGACTTTTGCTGCCCTGCAATCATCAGAATCAGCTGTGCTTGAAGCAGGGAAACCTCTAAAACCTGCAGGACAGTGGCCCTCGAGGGCCAATTTTTGGCAGCCCAATATGTATCCATATGTGTTTATGTCAATAAAACTTCTAATTGCTGTTTTTTTTCTCTCTCTGTTTGAGACTCTCTGGATTGAATTGACTTTTAAATATAAAGAGTTTCTTGAACATGTCTACATCTATATTGGTTTTCTATATAGCTCTAAAATTGTAGATTGGAAATCAAGAAGTTCAATCCAGCAGTGCATCACTAATAGAGATGAGTGTAGTTCAAATACTAGATTAGGTTAGGCTTTACTGTTCCCACAGTAGGGAAATGTTCATGTTACAACAATAAGTAAAAGAAAAGTCCAAGAAATTAAAGGAAAGTCCACCTTATTCCTTAATGGTAATTATATATTTTTTTTTGTCTGAAATTAATTACCATGGTTACAGGTAAAGAATAGAGACTATATCTATGAATAAACCTTGATCTGATTCGATTCAGACTTTTTAATTGCATCTTCCTCTGGAGTTAACAATCCATACGTTTCATTACAGATAAATTTGGCATTTTCCCCTTTTAAAGTGTGATAAAGTTATCCATGAGGTATTTATTAGCATTTTAAACCAGTGTTTCTAGGTTATGTTTGCTTGCAGCCAAATGAAGGAGCTTTGCTGCTTCTCTGAACTGCATCTGTGTTGGAACATAATAAGGATGTTGTCTCAGCTTTGTTTTCGTTCTGCTGGTGAGGACACTCCGGGAAGATCCTCCCACGGTGGATCAGCAACATTCGGTATAGAAGGGAGTTTGATCACATTTCATCAGAATCACACAGGCTGAGATCCGCCAAAACTGATTATTAAAACTTGATCATATGACAAGACCTTTAAACTTTATTTATTGTTATGATTCAGGACAAGAATGCATCTCATTGCAGCTTTTTTTTTAAACCGCTTATCTCATTCTTATATTTATAAATCAACTCCTACAAACAAAGTTCTGAAGGTATTATATAAGGTAATAGGGATACTATTATAAGTCAATAACAGGATGTCATGACCAAATTAGACTTTAGGTTTATAGTTTGTTTCTTTAAGGGGATGAATTATTGACTATCACTTATCAGTTTAGTTTTAATGAAACACAAACATTGTAATTCAACCCATGTGTGCAGAAAAGTGAAACTACATTAATGAAAACACAAAATGTAAATAAATTGTGGCACATGAGTCACTATGGCTGATTATTTTGTAATTATTCTCTTATTTAAAAATGCCAGTTTTATATTTACAGCTGTACAAAAACAACAGATCTTCTTATGAATAATTAAAGCTAAGAATAGCTCTTCAAATCAAATCAGAAGACACATCAAAGCAAAATAAACATCTTCACGTTTCAGGCTGCAGGAATCTGGGTAAATCATGTTTCACAGCCAGGGGCCGACACTGATGATCAGCAGGGCCTCTTCTTTGCTCTGGCCTCAGTTCGGTTCAATGGATGGACACACATTTCAATCCAGTCCCTCTGAGGCATCTACAACCCTTCTGAGGATCGAGCTGCTGTTTTTCTTCTTCCAGTGGTGGTTGTGTTATTTCATGTTGACTCTTCTACAGCTGGTGAATTGTTTGGACTTCAGGAGTGGTCAGTCGAAGCCTTTACACATCCCCTCCTTCATAACAGATCCTCTTTACTCCTGAGCTACAGTGGGCCTCAGACTTTTCCACATTTTGTCACATTAGAATCACAAACTTCAATTTATTTTATTGGAATTTTATGTGAAAGACAAAGTTATATAGAATTGTGAAGAAGAAATGAAGCATAGGCCTAGTAGTTTTCATTTGTTACCAAAAAAATACTGACTGAGTTAATACTTTGTGGAATAACATTTTGCTGACATACAGCTACAAGTCTGTAAGGGTCTGTTTCTAGCAGCTTTACACATTTAGGGACTTAGATTTTTACACATTCTCTTTGAAAATATGGCAGAGATTGTTTGTGAAAAGCAGTTTTCAGATCTTACAGCAGGTTCGTCATTCTAGCATACGAGTTTTTATTTAAACCATTCCATTGTAGCCCAAGCTATATGTTTATTCTCATTGTTCTCCTGGAAGGTGAACTCTCTCAAATATTTTTCTGACTCCAACAAAGCTTCTTCCAAGATTTCCCTGTATTTGGCTCTATCCATCTCTCCATGAGACCACATGTCCCTGCTGAAGAGAAGCACCCCCAGAAAATGATACTGCCACCACCATATTTGACAATGGGGATGGTGTGTTCAGAGTGATGCACAGTCTTAATTCTCCACCGCATACAATGTTTCTTATGGACAACTCACTTTCAGCTTTTTATTTGTAATAAATGTCTCAAGTCATGTATAATTTTCTTTCTACTTTACAGCCACTCTGCGTCATTCTTCCCAATAAGATTCCAATAAAAATGTATTTATTTGCTACGTGACAAGATGTGGAAGAGTTCAAGGGGTGTGAATACTTTTGCCAGTCTCTCCTACTTCCTGCTGCACATTTGCAGTCAGACTGAGGCTTTGAAGATCATCATCAATTCATGCAGGTCAGGCAGGTTCTTCAGTTCAGCTTATTTTCATGTTACTTATATCTGGGAATACATCGCCATCTACTGATGGATGAATGGATGAAGTCCATCAGGGAACCAGATGTTTTTATGTGGATGTTTGAGCTTTGATGGTGTTTTTAATGGTAAAAACACAAATGGACAGATAAATAAACTGACTAAAATAATAATACTGGGAGCTATTTGTCAATAGCTAAGTTTAATTTGAAAGCAAATTATTAACACTGAAATAACTTGGAAGTACCATTTATTTACAAAAAGACAAGCAACTTTTTCCAAATAGAAATTCTTTGTTAATTTCACTCAATAAAATCTAAATACATTTTATTTGGTAAGAAGAATTGATTTAACAAATAAAAAAAAAATTAAGAACATTTTACTGTAAAGGTTTTTTTGTAATAAATTTTACACATAGACACACAGACATACGACCATGCACACTCTCTAGAGAAGCCAGTTCACCTAACATTTTGTCATGATTTTAAAGCGAAAGTCTTTTCATAGCTGGATTTCTTGCACAGGTGGCATCTTATCCCAGTTCCTGACACATTCTTGGACAAATGTTTATCTTACAGTCTGCAAGCCTAGGTCCTTGATTTTATATCTGAGTGGCCAGAGAAGTGATTGGAACACCTGTACATTAATTCCAATGACTTGGATGGATGAGGAAATGTGTAACGCTTGTTAAAGGCTAATGACAAGGAACTGACTATATAGATGTAGAAAGATGTTACCAGAAGAGGGTTCGTTGAGGAGCCCGAGGTGTGAATAATCACAGAGACAAAAATAAGGTTTAACTAGTTTTGTATTAAAGTGGCCAAGACACACACAAAAAAAAAAACAACAAACACACAAACATTAATAACAAAACAGTTTTTGATTAATTGTCCCCAAGGTTCAGTTAGGTTAGATTGTTAGTCCATACGCTATGGTAATCCAGGGTTGGGAAGAGAATAGTTTTTATCCTTATAGGAAAGAAGAGTCTGTATCCTACCGCACAGGTAGAGGTCTTAGCTCGCCATCTTCAGTTGAATTAGAAGAAAAAAAAGTTGTTGTGAACCAGATTGTAGTGAGGGTGATGTCCTTTTTCTGGCATAAAAAAAAAACCTGACCTAGAATGGTCAAAAAAAAACAAATGAGCAGTTCTTAACCAATGAGATCTGCATGTTTAAAATATGTGTGCATTAAATTTTGGAACACATTTATACATGCAGATAGTTTTCCATATTTACACATTTTACCAATATATATACAAACATATATATATATATATATATATATATATATATAGCTATAACAAATAACTATATAAATAAAGAAATAAATCGTTTAACAGATTATCACAAAAGTTTTAGATACTCAAAAACACATTGTAATCAAGTGCACTTTTTTTCCCATAAATCATGAATATTCAATGTATATAAAAAAAAAACTCTTTTCCAATTAAATTACTTGAGCAGAGAAAAATACTCAAGCAGATCTTAAGTTCTTAAGTTGCGCAACAAATTCCACAAGTACGTAGCTACATTCAAATATTTATTTAATTTTCAATGAGGTAAGAGGAAGGAAGAAAGAAAAAAAAAACTAAACCTCATTGCTTTTCTAATGATCCAGTCAAAAGCTGGAAAAAAAGGGGCGCTTCTGTTAAACTAAAATGTAAAGCAAAATTCGGCTTGAATGTAAATTAAAAATAATTTATATTAAACAAGCAGAAGCGATATTTTACACACTACAAACGTAGTTCAAAATTCATAATAACGCTGGGACTCAGCGCGGCAAGGAATTAAGTGGAGGCAGCGGTACAAACAAAAGACGCAGATCGCGGAATATAAACTTAAATCTAGCCGCTGCAAACAAAATAAATGACCCGAATCGGAGTTAACAACTCACCGTTGAAGGGATGACAAGTTGATCTCCGTCTGTGTAGTGGTATTAATGAAAGACAACATGAGCGGTTTGGCCCAAGTTGTGAGAGAGAAGCGAGTCTGTAAAAAGTTACGCTTGGTGAGTAATCACACGATGTTAGTAAACATTAGGAGATTGGTTTTGTAGCGTTAAAACACTCACCCAAAAGACAGCTTATAATATTAGATCTTTAGGAAGATCCAGTAGCTTTTTTTTTAAACGAGACGCCAACAGAGCATGCAACAGCCACAGGTGGGGAATGGAGGAGGGAGTGGCACTCTGACTCCGCAGGTAAATAGAGTTGGGGTGATGTCGCACAGGGCGTGGCCCGTCAAATTAAAAGGACTTAGGAGCTGAGGGCTACACGTTCCCCCCCTGAACTCATGTACGGCCCTGTACATGCAGCGGGCTGACGGCAGACGGCTTGTTTACTGGTAAGGGAAGGTTGGACCTCATCAATTTCAACAACATAATTAAAGGCGGTGCTTAGTCCATGGAACAAAGATTGGATACTTTGGAGCAGTGGATGGCCCAGCCTGGAGTATTGGAACCGCTCAGGAGGACGACGTGTTCGGATAGGTCGATGGCCTGGTGGTTCGGACCCGGGACTGGACAATTCAAGCTCAGAGGGTGAGTCAGATTCAGAGACAATGCTGACGGGGTCTGGAGTTTCCGGATCAGAGGAAGCGCTTTCTTCAGGCTCCAGGTTAGCAGCAGGTCTTAAGTCTAAGTGAGTATTTACAGCTTCAGCTAAGTGGTCAATGGTTTCTTGTGACGATTCAGATTCCGGTTCACTCTCAATCACACGAGGCCCCACTTCCATCAGAGGTTCTTCAGTCCGGGCAGACTGTGGTTGCTGGCCAGGCGGGACCACAGCTGACTCAGCCGGATGAGCAGAAGTGGGCAATTCGATTATGGATGTGAATCTGACTGGTTCTGAGATGGAGAGAGGTTTAACAGGAATCAGTTCTTCTTCCGACAGGATATCTTCACCACCATCATCAGGAGGATTGAGAGGTGTGCTTTCTGACGGTAGGGAATGTGTCACTTTCTGTTTGATTTGTTTGGCAGGGGCTGAGAGGAAACCACAGGGTAATAGCAGGTCTCGATGGAGTGTACGTACAGGACGGTCCTTGTTTTCTGGCTTCACGGTGTAGACTGGAAGTGGACTGGCTCTTTTGATGACTGTGTCACCGATCAGCAATTTTGTGTTTTCCCCTTATTCTCACATTTCTCACCAGCACACGATCTCCCACCGACAACTCTGAAGGAGTGATGTTCTTGTCGAAACGGGTTTTGTTTTTCAGCATCAGCTTCTCAGAGTTCTCAATGGCAATTTGGTAGCTTTCTTCGAGGTGGGCTTTCAGCTTTTCAATGTACTGAGAGTGAGAGGAGTGCGTTTTCTCTCCCAATGGCAGTCCGAAAGCGAGATCTATTGGGAGGCGTGGCTGACGTCCAAACATAAGCTCATAAGGGGAGAATCCTGTGACATCGCTCCGGGTACAGTTGTACGCATGCACCAGTGGTTTTACAAAATCTCTCCAGTGTGTCTTGTCGTGATCATTCAAAGTTCCCAGCATGTCCAGAAGGGTGCGATTAAACCGTTCTACTGGATTACCCCGAGGATGGTATGGGGTGGTACGGATCTTGCTGATTTCTGCCATTGCACAGAGTTCTTTGATAATACGGCTCTCAAAATCAGGTCCTTGGTCACTATGGAGCTTCTCAGGGATGCCGTAATGTACCAGGAAGTTGTCCCATAAGCACTTTGCTACGGTCTTCGCTTTTTGGTTTGGCGTGGGAACAGCGACTGCATACTTTGTGAAGTGGTCAGTTATCACGAGTATGTCTTTGGTATTGCTCCGATCAGGTTCCAACGACAAGAAATCCATGCATACCAGTTCCAAAGGTCTTGACGTTTTGATGTTAACCAGCGGAGCTGCTTTGTCTGGCAGTGTTTTCCGTCGGACACATCTTTCACAGTTCTTTATTTTGTTGTGGACATCTGCAGACATACGAGGCCAGTAAAACCGGGATCTTGCAAGGTCAAGCGTTGTCTCAATGCCCAAGTGTCCCATCTGATCATGCAGCTGGTATAATGCTTCAGAGCGACATTCTTCAGGTAGCACAAGCTGGTATGTGGTTTCACTCCCAATCTGCCTTCTCCGTACAAGAACATTGTTGTGGAGCTCCAGTTTTGTTAGTTCTCGCAGGAGTAAAGGTAAGTCTGGAAGTTCGTCCCTCAGAGAAGTAGGTGGACTTTCTCCTCTTTCCAACTGTGCAACAACATGCTGTATGACGGGATCGGTGTGCTGTTTGGCTGCAATTTCATCAGGAGAGAATGCAGGTATGACGGGTGAGGCAAACTGTATGTCATCAACAAAACTGTCTGGCAGACTTCCTGGATCAGTGGTGAGTGTCTGGACCAGAGCAAGAACTTGGTCTTCAGCAGTGGAACCATACACAAGCTGTCGGTCACAAATGGCATGGACTGTGTGCTGGTCTATGGAGACAGGTGAGGAATCTTGTAGGTGATGTTGGGTGAACCTTAAAATTCTCTCACGCTCTTTTTGTGTCAGGTGGTCATCTGGCAACACCTCATGCGGTCGACGAGAGAGACCATCTGCGTCAGCATTTTGCTTTCCTGCTCTGTAAATAATCTTGAATGAGTAGGTGGAAAGGGCAGAGAGCCACCTGTAGCTCGTTGCATCCAGCTTTGCAGAGGTAAGGAGGTAGGTCAAAGGGTTACTGTCTGTGACCACTGTAAAAGGTGTGCCGTACAAATAGTCATTAAACTTTTCGGTCACCGCCCACTTCAATGCTAGGAATTCCAGCTTGTGTGCAGAGTATCTGGCTTCACTCCGAGACAGGCCCCTGCTGGCATAAGCAACCACTCTGTTCTTGCCGTCGTGTTCTTGGTATAAAACAGCACCAAGTCCTGTGCAGCTGGCATCTGTATGCAGGGTGTACGACTTGCTAGGATCGGCAAAGGCGAGAACAGGCGCTGAAGTGAGCTTTTGAATGATGGTCTCAAAGGCAGTCTGACATGCAGGGGACCAGCGGCCACCGAAAGGCTCTTTTGGGTTCAGGTAGGTCTGGGATTTTATCAATGGTTTTCGTTTTTTCTGGTTTGGTGGATAGCCTGAGGTCAGCTCATTCAGTGGTTTGACGATGGATGAGTAGTCTTTCACAAAGCGTCGGTAATAACCGGCAAATCCGAGGAATGAGCGAAGTTCCTTGAGGTTCTGTGGGACTGGCCAAGATGTTAGGGTGGCAATTTTCTCTGGGTCTGTCTCAACTCCATTCCTCGACACCACATGTCCGAGATACCGCACAGATGGCTGGAAAAAGACACACTTCTCCACAGACAACTTCAGGCCAAACTCCTTTAACCGCAGCAAAACCCTCAACAGCCGCTCTTCGTGCTCTTCCAGCGTCGGAGCGAACACGATTAAATCATCGATGAAGACGAGTGCTTCTTTGAGGTTTAAATCGCTCATGCACTTCTCCATCAACCGCTGAAAAGTGGAGGGCGCATTTGTAACTCCTTGCGGCAAGCGGTTAAACTCCCAGAAGCCTAGAGGACAGACGAAGGCGGTTTTGCATTTATCAGATTCCTCCATCTCGATTTGATAGTAGCCGGACTTCAAATCTAGGACGGAAAACCATTTTGATCCGGACAGGGCCGTAAAGGTGTCTTCTAGCTTTGGCAGAGGATATGCATCTTTGATGGTTTGAGTGTTTAACTTTCTGTAGTCTATGCAGAGTCTTACGCTGCCATTCTTTTTGCGCACCACAACGATGGGGGAAGCAAATGGTGAGTCTGATTCACGTATTATGCCAGACTCCAACAGCTCTTGCAAATGTTGTTTGACAGCATCCAGGTCTTGTGGGTGGATGGGCCTGGGTCTTTGCTTAAAAGGTGTTGGGTCTGCAAGTTTGATCTGGTGCTTTACTTTGTCAGTGCAACCAAAATCAAGGTCATGGTGAGCAAAGACTTCAGGAATGCTATCGAGCTTGGAAATAATACGTTGCTTCCACTCTGGGGAGATGGGTGAATCAGCAAAATTGTAGTTCAGCTTTGACTCTGATGACTTTAGGCTGTCTTGCTGGCACACACTCTGTTGCTTGTGGAGGACTGACTGGAAGGCACACAGCTCTGCGATAGCAGCACGGGCTGGAAGGATGACATCGTGGTCAGACTCATTTGTGATGACAACTGGGAGATGGCACGGTTGGACTGAGGGAAGATCCACCAGGCATGACTGGACCATCAGGCCGCCGGGCAGGGAGAAAGATGTTGGATGCTGGATAACGACAGACTTCTCACCTTGTAACACTGGAGCGATGGATATAGCATCCATGACAATGGTTTTTCCAGCTGCGAAGGTCTGTGGACTGTTGGTCTGTAGCTTTAAAATGCCATGGTGATCATCAGTGGCAAGCTTGTGTCTTAGCTCTAGGATCTTCAGCACAGCTCTATGCCCATATGGTACTGGTTGGAATTCGGAGTCTTTGATCTCAGAGTGTTTCTCATACACCACATCCAGTGTGCTGGTACCAATGAGGACTGAGGGCTGTGATGATCTGAAGTCAGGTACCACCAATGCCAGAGTGTTCACATTCACTGACTGTCCCAGGAACTCAGCAGGAAAGGTAATGTCCAACTCCACAAATCCTAAGTAGGGCACAGCTTGTCCGTTTGCACCTTCCACCTCCAGCAGGTTATTTAGGGGCTTGATCTCGTGGTCGGACAAATATGTGTTATAGAAGGAGTGAGTGACAGTGGTAACCTGGGATCCGGTGTCAAACAAGCAATGAAAGTTTGAGCCTTTTATCTTGACCTGTCCTATACTTTTTGTTCCAATTAATCCTTTGGGAAAGGAGTTTCGTGGTGTAAAACGTTGATTTTGGGGACACAATTCAGTAGCAGCTTCCACCTGTCCCTCCGAAGAAGCTGCATTTAGTTTAACTGTTTGGAGTTCTTAGCGTCCCATGCTTGCTGCTTCTGTTTCAGCTGTCGGCGCTTTTGTTCAACAAGGCTGGAGTTGGCTAAATTTGTGCAGGCAGGAACAATATGTCCATCTTCGCCGCACTTGAAGCAAAACCAAGGCTTGGGCCTGGTGGAGACATTGACTTTTGGCTTTAACTTACTCTGCCGGTAATCTGGTGCAGAGGCGGGAATTTTCTTCGCCAGCAAAGCAGACATCTGATTTTGCAGTTTTACCATTTGTTGTTTCAGTTCATCAATGGCGCTGGTGTCCGTGCGGCCACAGACACAGGAGGATGCACTCTGAGACTGCAGGTTGGCACGATGTTTCGAGGATGTAATGTGTTTCTTCATTAAGGACTCTTTGGCCAACTGCCTGTCCTCTTCGGTCCGGAGCAGGAACAAAAGTTCGGAGAAGGTAGGTGGATTGTCTTTTTTTTGCTCAAGCTGTAATTTTGTAATGACAACATTGTCCCAGCATCCTCTGCAGAACTGTTTCAATAGATGCTTGTCAGTGTCTCTTGCTGGGATTCCGCCCCGCTTCACAACTGTGCTCAGTGTCAGTTGCAGTCTTTGCAGGAAGGAAGACCCTCGCTCTCCGTGGTCCTGAAGAGTGTTTAGGAACTGAGCGAAGAGCTCTTCTCCATCCTGGACAGTGGCAAAGGCTGAGTCGAGCACTTGGGTGAACATGATTGGTAAAGAGTTGGGCCCCAAGCTTTTAACAAGGTCGGCAGCTGGAGGGAGCAGGCTTTCTAGAATGCGCCTTGTAACGTGCAGTGGCGACAAGGTAGGGTCAGCTCGCAAGAGTTCAATATGGGAACGCCATGAGTCGTAATCTGCCTCATTACTTGGTTTAGGAATCCTTCCAGAAAATGTTCGTAGGCGCAGTGGGGACAAGGATTGGAGGCTCATGTCGTCCTTTCTCACAATGTGCTCCACGACAACCCTCTGTACTTCTGGGGGATTCAAGTCGTGTCCAGAAAGAGAAATCAGCTGTCCTGGATTGGCAGCTGTATTGACTAGAGGAGGGTCTGCTGATTGGCCAGTGGAAGAATGACCCACCGACTGAGAAGTTGATGGCATCTGAGACACAAGGGTTGAACCTGACATGGTCTGCCCCGTCTCCAGTACATCAACTGTAGTCTCTTGTCTCTCCTCATCTTCATCATCATCATCATTTCCTCCGACTT